CTCTCTCTCTCTCTCTCTCTCTCTCTCTCTCTCTCTCTCTCTCTCTCCCTCTCCCCCACACATGCGCGCTGTATCATGCTTCTTATTCCATGCAGCTGAGCCACCCATGTGACACAGAATGTGTATTTGGAGGTCATTCTACTAGGCTGTACCATACCTTCTTTTCTAGTGTCTTGACTAGATATACTTTCTGGCTGTTCACCAATAAATTCTTCCCCTGGTTGGAACAGCATTACAGTTGTTTTCCATGTGGTGCTTTAGTTGTTTGCGATTTTGCTGGAGGTCCTTTCTCTGGCTTAGTTGTTTCGCTCACTATGCTCAGTCTCCACCCAGATTTGCGACAGCTGCTGCTGTAGGTCAGTCACTGATATGCCTGCTCACCTAATTAATGCTTTGAGACGTTTTCGTTCTCTGGTCTAGCTGTCTCCTGCTCCTTCACGCAATCCACAATTTTTAAAATAAAAGACCTGAATACCACCTAGCCCGTCATGATGAAATTCCCTGGATTATTCTGTCACAGCAGTGCTGCTTCAAACTGGACTTCATGCCATACCAAGGATGACAAAGTGGGAGAATAGATAGAAGGAGTTGGAATGCAGATCAGTCATGGTCTCATTATTTGGTACTCGAATATTTTTATGTAGCAGAATGGCCTAACAGAATTCCCACATTCCTGTGGATTTATACACAGCATCTGAATATGGTTCAGAAAAAACACTCCAATTCGATCTATTTACAAAATATTGAAACCTACTTTCTGGTTGCCTTGAGGTAGCAATGAATTCCCTGAGACAACCTGAAAGTAGACTAAATATTGTGTAGACATTTGTTACGGATGCTGGACCAGGTTGATTAGTCTTAGTCTTATTATCATTTAAGACCACAGATGATGATTAATTATTTTTGCATTGAAGAAAGTATCAGTTTAAAATTTCTTCAATCATACAAAAGCAACTTATTGTCTTTGAACTTTGGTTTGTTAAGGCAAAAATAACAGCTTTCTGGTAAATTGTGGGAATCGGGGTGTTATTATTTGTGTGAAGACTGAGACACAATTCTTCAATTAATTAGAGTAACAAGGATGTTCTATTTGACCACTGGATGAAGGCATGTTCCCAGATACTGTATGCATAAGGTCAGATCTTGGGCTCTGAATTCAAGGTCTGATAAGGTATGATTTCATTACATCACATCCCTACAGAGAGGGGGAAGAGACAGACAGAAAGAGAGAGAGAGAGAGAGAGAGAGAGAGAAAGAAGGAATGAAGCAGGGAGACATACTGCAGCTTCCAAATCCAGCTTAAAGATCCCAGCAACAACTGCTACTGAATAACTAAAACTAAAAATCCTGGTTTTGTGGGAGCTTGACCCCACCCATTCAGGCTGTTACTACTGTTCCAACATTTTACCAACAAAACCCAAGCTGTTTACTTTTGAATTTGAAGCAGACTGCCCGGCATGTCTATCACAACCTTTCTTCATTTAAAAAAAAACACAGGACAAAATGCACCTCTCAAAGCCATAGTATTGACACACCTCCCCCCCCACCTCCGTTTATAAAAAAAAACCCCATCAATATACAAAGATGGATTAATTTTTATAAACCATTGGTCTTGTGCTATTCGTACACAGCAGTACATGTATATTACACATATAAGCATGCAAACATTCTCCACTATACTCCATTTCGGTCTGTTTTTCCCATCACTAAACACCTCCATCTTTCATCAAAGTTGTGACGACGCATCAGCAATTATGTTCTCTTGCCCTGCCATGTGTATAATTTTCAAATTGAATGGCTGCAATAATAAACTCCATCTAAACTGTCTGGTATTTTTATCCTTAAATTTTTTCCAAAAACTTTAAGGGCTATCAGTAGTGTCTCTAATTGTCTCAGACACATTAATGGCAATAATGGGTCGAAGATAATAGTGTTGCAATGCCAACACTAAGCTCAAGATCTCCTTCTTCTCAATCGTGGAATATTTCTGTTGATGATTGGTTCTGTTTTCTGGAAAAATACCCAATAGGTCTTTCTACCTTTTTGTTATTGTCTTGTAAAAGTACAACACCAACACCCACATCACTGGCATCAATAGTCTTCTTGAATGGTATTGTGTAATTAGGTGCGGTTAACACTGGGGCAGTGGTTAACACAGCTTTCAGGCTGTCGAATATTTTCTGACATCCATCCATTGACATTTTCTGCAATTCTTCATGTCAATCAGTGGAGCACCCACACTGCTAAAATTCGGTACAAGTCTCCAATTAAAAACCACTCAGTCCCAGGAATCATCGTACTTCCCTCTTCTTCAATGGTATACGAAACTCCCCAGTCACGTTTGTTTTCATATCACATGGGGCCATGTTTCCACGTCCAGTGACATGGCTCAGGAACTTGACTTGGGCTTTTGTGACCTCGCTGTTAGCCAGGTTTATCACCAAGCCTGCCTCCTGCAGTTGATCAAACCATTCTAATAGATGCTCCAAATGTTCCTTCCAGGTGTAACTAAAAATCACCAGATTGGGTAATTTATTCATTAGTCTTTGAAATGTGGCTGGCGCATTTTTCATACCAAATGGCAAGACTTGAAACTTGTACAGTCCATTTGGTGTCAAAAAAAGCCAGATTTCCTTCGCTCTCTCAGATAAATGTACTTGCCAATAATGTCTGAGTAAGTCCAATTTAGAAATACAAGTTGCTTGTACTACCTTCTCAATACAGTCTGCCAAACGTGGAATAGGATATGATTTAGATTTTGTAACTACGTTGACTTTGCAATAGTCCACATGTAATCATTGGGTACCATCAAATTTTAGCACCATTACTATGGGTGAGCTCCATTTGCTGCAACTCATTTCAATTCCATTGTCTTTGAGCATGCATTCTATCTCTTTTTGAACCTGTGCCAACTTGAGGGTTAGACCTCTAAGGATATTGCTTAATTGGAACAGCATTTCCTAAATCTACATTATGCATAATTAAATTCGTACTTCCCAGCTTATTTCCATATATTTCTCTGTGATTGTAATAACTCTTTCAGGTCATTTCAGCCTTTCAGAAGAAGGCAACTGAATAATTTATCTGAATTTTTGAGAACTTCCTCATTGTCCAATTTAATTTGAAGAATGCACAATTCAGAATCATTGGGATTTGGTTCTTCACTCTGTTGTAACAAGTAACATTCTCCTTTTTGCTTTCTTTCCCTATCAAAATATCTTTTGAGCATATTCACATGACATACTCTGAAATTTCTTTTGATCGGGTGTTGTTATCAAACAATTCGCCTCACTCATTCTCCTTTCATTTTGATTAGGTCCACTAAACCTTGCCTTCAAGATTTTTTTTGTCTGCTTCCTGTTTCATCACATGCTGTGCTGCTTTTAAATGCTGACTAGCTAACTCAACTGCTCTATTTAATGTTTCCTTAAAATTTGACACAGTCCAAATGTGTAATCTCTGAACTCTGACTCACCAATTTCTCCTTAATTAATTTCAGTGATCCTCTCATCTCCTGTCCAAAAACTAATTTAAATGCACTTAATTTAGTTGATTCATTAGGTGCATCCCTAATTGCAAAAAGTAGAAACGTAATTCTTTTATCCTAATTCTTTCTATAACCTCACCAGTAATACAATTTGATGAACTTCTGCCTATTTCTCATTTGCCTGAATATGTAATAGTCTCCATTTCTTTATCAAGGTGCATTTTTAAGTTAGTAACATTCTGAGATAAACTCTGATTCTTCTTCTGTGTACGCTTAATGATATAATTGCTTTAGTTTTTTCAACTTTCTGTTGTAATTCAGCTAATTTTTCTGAACTAAAAACGTCCACTTTGTCCTCCACGTGCTCTTGTTTCTTCTCAACCATTTGATCAAAAATATTCTCTGATAATTGAACTTCAACTTCCTTATCTTTTAGTTTTTGATTTCTCCTCCTGTTTTAATGTGTTGTTTTGTGACCTTGTTACCACACACGGTCAGGAAAAATCCCAGGATCCTCTCACACCTCAGTTGCCTGATTTTTTTCCCCACTGATTTTTCAATTATTTAGGCATCACTCCCCACTGTGATCCAGCTATATCATTACCAAGATAAACTGTATTTCTGGAGCAGAGAATTTCTCAATTACTTCTACCACCACTTTTCACCAGACTCTCTAACCTCACTTTATATGATGGAACACTGCTCTTCTCACCATGAGTTCCATATATTACCAACTTTTCTGGCAATACTCCTTTTGAATTGCATATCTCCTCATCTGTCATCATCAAAGATTGACTTTGTTCTGTGTGTTAAAAGCTTAATTTCTTTACCTGCTCCTTACCCATGCAAGTAAATTCTTTCTAGAGGTAAGGCATTTTCTTCTCGACCAACGCCTGACCAGGTTATACATTCTTTCTCTTGCAGCTTTTTGGCTTCCATTGTGCTTTCCTTTACCACTTCAACAAAACTCACTGGCTTAACCTGTTTTCCCACCGCTGTCTTAGCAATGCTTTCGTAAATCACCAACACCTGAGCTATTTTACTTTTCTTCCCCACTAGCCCCTGCCATGGGTTTCCTTTTTACCCTATGGTAAACTACCTTTGCTACCTTCAGTGAGATCTTCTCTTCCCTTACCACCTGAGGATTTCTCTTTTTCCCCAATTTCTATCCTTCACAGATTGAAATTTATGTTGGAAGCCAAACTCCTGATTTATAAACCAACTCATTATCATCTGCCATTTCCGCTGCTAATCTTGCACAGTGGAGATCATGGACTTGGGAGGTTGCGTGGTACATCCTGTAGATCATACATTATCATTATAGAATGCTTGTGGTGCAGACAGTGAGTATTAAAGTTGGTAGATGGACTGTTGATCAAGGATATTTGTAGGTAAATTGTTATGCTATTCTAAATTAGATGCTCTGTTTAAACAGGGGCCATGTGTCATCACTCTCAGTACATCCATCTGGAAAGCTTGCCTTATCAGTAGGAACAGACAAAACATTAAGGTATGTGGATATACTTGGATAAATCAGGTCTGATTACAGATATGCAAATAGCAACATTAGCACAATGATGCATATATGATGTAACCAAGTGCCTATAATGTTATTTTCTTCCTGAAGATAGAGAAAAAATAGTTTAAACTTAAAAGCAATTTCAACACCAATGGTTAAATCATTCTGGGATATTATGATGGGATTCCTCTTTTGGTGTAGATCTGAAATTCATTCTCAACAATTTGTTGTGATGGTGTTCTGCCAAAGGAGTAATTTTCTACTTTTCCATTCCCAATATGAAGTCTTGCTTGTAGGGCTTGCATATTGGGCTTACACTCACAAACACACACACACCTTGTTCTCTGATAAATAGGGGTTGTGCACTTTGACACAGTGAATTTTTAGTTACAAAAAAAAAGGTTTTAAGTAGTTCCAGTGATGCACATGTAGCCTACCTAAGTTGTCCTTTTATTTCTACAGAACATGGAATCTGATTGATGGAAAATCCGCATTCATCAAAAATATAAATCAGAGTAAGTTTTTAGACTGCAATTTAAGATTATTATATTCATGGAACTGGAACTGGAATAGAATGCACATTTACAGTTTATATTCAGTATTGCACTGTTCCAGCTGTGAGACAAGCTTAGCGCATTTAAACTTTTTTAAATTTGATTTTCTTTTTATTCTGCCTTCTACAGGGCATGTGATTCTTATCCACAAACATAATTTCCTGTGATCACAATGTTTGGTCGCACTTTTGTTTCAGCATTTACTAATGTAAATGGATATGTTAACAGTTCCCATTCAATTTTGTTACAACATTTTCATTAATGTAGCTCTGGTCTCCTGTAACCAGATGATTTTTTTTGGTGATTCAACTTGTGAAATCCCCTCCTTGACTGTTGCCATCTAAATAACCTACACTAATTCGTTACAATGGACAAATATTTATGGGTTTCTGGTGATGCTTTGTTAATCATTAAGAACAAAGGAGCACCATTAGAGCAGTGCTAAATGCTTCCTTTTCCCATAGCAATCATTCTCTTTTTTTTGGAGGGGGTGTGAGAAAAGAAGCAGGAATCTGTTTACCTGCAAGGTTGGTAAGGCTTCCTTGTTTATATTGATATTGAAGAAGAATACAGTAGTGGCAGTTGATGCTTTCTATCCTCATTAAATTGATGTAGTTTGCTTAGCACATTTGCATAGGAGCAGGAGTAGGTCATTCAACCCTTTGAGCTCCTCCCCCATTCAATAAGATCGTGGCTGATCTGTAGCCTAACTACATATGCCTCCCATATCCCCTCATGACCTTAATAAGTTTGCTTATCTCAAATTTGAATTGAACAATTCAGTTGGTATCGACCACAGTTTGAGGAAGAGAGTTCCAAATATCCGGCATTCTTTTTGTTTAGAAATGCTTTCTGACATCTCTGCCAAATGGTCTGGCCTCATTCTTCAACAATGCCTCCTGGTTCTAGAATCCTCAAAGAGTGGAAAGGGTTTATCTACCCGATCTTTCCCTGTTTTCTACTGAAAACCATGATTAGATCATTCCTTAACCTTCTAAGTTCTAGACGACGAAGGCCTAATTTGCCTAATTTTTCCTCATAAATTAACCCCTGAATTCCAAGGATCAACCTAGTAAACCTGCATTGAATCCCTCTCAAGCCAAAATATCCTTCCGAGGATCTGATGCCCAGATCTGCTTAAAGTACTTTAAGTGGGGTATAACTAGGTTCTGAGGAAGGGTCACCAGACCCAAAATGTTAACTCTGATTTCTCTCCACAGATGCTGCCAGACCTGCTGAGTTTTTCCAGCATTTTCTGTTTTTGTTTATGTTTATAACTAGGGTTTTGTATAACTGCAACATAATGTCTGCATCCTTATACTCCAGCCCTTATGGGAAGTAATCTCTTCCCTCCATAATATTTTCACTCTGCTCTTAGTGCTAAATTCCAAACCATTTTATGTTGTGAATTTAGGAGCCAGTTCCTGGAATTATTTATGTTTCATATAGATTTCTTTTATGATGTGTAGAGGCATTTTCTGTTCATTTCTTTTTAATCTCTCTTCGTCTTCCCTGAAATAAGATGTCATTTAAAGGAATTCCTTGATATGTTAACATAAGAATTCTTCATGTCAGAAAACTACTATTCAATTTTTGCATTTGTCTCACACTTCAGTCTGTATTTGTCTTTTGGTCAGTCCGGGTATGTAAGTCCCTTCAACTTTACTTTGTCTGTCTTTCTGAGTGTCCATTTTTGTGTGTCTGAGGTTGTAGGCATGCTTGCCAAGCCAGTGGGTTTGGTTGCAAGTGTTTCGTCACTCTGCTACGTAACAACCTCAGTGTGCCTCTGGTGAAGCGTTGGTGTTCTGTCCCGCTTGTTATTTATATGTTTCTGTTTGTTGAGGTGTTTGGTACCACTTCCAGGTCTGTTTGTTTCTCAGTGGTTTCTACACTGGGTCTAATTCAATGTTGATGGAGTTCTGGTTAAAATACCAGGCCTCCAGGAATTCTTGTTGTGGTCTGTCTCAGAGAAAATGGCGGATTGTGCTTTTTGGCTATCCATTTCTTTTGAAGACTCTGTACAGGTGCTCCTGTCCTGCTTTGTGTAGTTCCAGGTTGTTGCAATGTGTTGTGGCTAGTTTAAATTGTGTCCTGGAGAAGGTCCGTTTGTGGGCGTTGAGGTGGTCGCGAGTGTAATTGAGTATCTGGTCTGTATGTGTGGTCTTTCTACATATGCTAGTCTGGAGTTCCCCGTTGTTTTTGCGTTCTACCATTATGTCCAGGAAGGGTAGTCAGTTGTTGTTCTCTTCTTCTTTTGTCCAGGTGAGGATGTTATTTATGTGTCCATGGGTTTCTTCTAATTTTATGCGTTTGATAATCACGAAGGTGTCATCTACATATCGGACCTAAAGTTTGGGCTGTAGAACATAGAACATAGGACAGTACAGCACAGTACAGGCCCTTCAGCCCACGATGTTGTGCCAAACTTTTACCCTAAACCTAAGGTCTATCTAACCTGCACCACTACCTTTTATACTATCATCCATATGCCTATCTAATAGCCGCCTAAATGCCCCTAATGAGGCCGACTCCACTACCCTCTCCAGCAATGCATTCCACGCCCCTACCACTCTGAGTAAAGAACCTACCTCTGACATCTCCCCGATATCTACCTCCTTTCACTTTAAAACTATGTCCCCTCGTAAAAACTACCTCTACCCTAGGAAAAAGTCTCTGGCTGTCTACTCTATCTATACCTCTGATCATTTTGTACACCTCTATCAAGTCACCTCTCATCCTTTGTCGTTTTAAAGAGAAAAGCCCTAGGTCTCTCAACCTTTCCTCGTAAGACCTTCCCTCCATTCCAGGCAACATCCTGGTAAATCTCCTCTGCACCTTTTCCAACACCTCCACATCTTTCCTGTAACGAGGCGACCAGAACTGGACACAATACTCCAGATGTGCCCGAACCAGGCTTTTGTATAGCTGGAGCATAACTTCACGGCTTTTGAACTCCATCCCTCTATTAATGAAAGCTAACACACCATACGCCTTCTTAACAACTCTATGCACCTGGGTGGCAGCTCTCAGGGAACTGTGAACATGAACCCCAAGATCCCTCTGCTCCTCCACACTGCCAAGGATCTTTCCGTTAACCCTGTATTCTGCTTTCAAGTTTGTCCTTCCAAAATGAATCACCTCACGCTTTTCAGGGTTAAACTCCATCTGCCACTTCTCAGCCCAGCTCTGCATTCTATCGATGTCCCTTTGTAACCTAGAATAGCCCTCCGCACTGTCCACAACGTGACCCACCTTTGTATCGTCCACGAACTTACTAATCCACCCTTTCACTCCTTCATCCAAATCATTTACAAAAATCACAAATAAAAGAAGTCCCAGAACAGATCCTTGAGGTACACCACTCGTAACTGAGCGCCATGTTGAATATTTTCCGTCCACTACCACCCTTTGTCTTCTAAGGGTCAGCCAATTCTGAATCCAATCTGCCACATTTCCCCCTATCCCATGCCTCCTCACCTTCTGCATGAGCCAACCATGGGGAACCTTATCAAACGCCTTGCTTAAATCCATGTATACCACATCCACTGCACCACCTTCATCCATGTGTTTGGTCACCTCTTCAAAGAATTCAATAAGGTTTGTGAGGCATGATCTACCCCTCACAAATCCATGCTGACTATTACGAATCAAACTGTGCCTTTCCAAGTGATCCTAAATCCTGTCTCTCAGAGCCCTTTCCAATAATTTGCCCACCACTGACGTTAGACTAACTGGCCTGTAATTTCCGGGGTTATCCGTGTTCCCTTTGAACAAGGGAATGACGTTTGCCTCTTTCCAATCTTCTGGCACTATACTGTGGACAGTGAGGGCGAAAAGATCATCGCCAAAGGCCCTGCGATCTCGTCCCTCGCTTCCCATAGAATCCTTGGATAAATCCCATCAGGCCCGGGGGACTTATCTATCGTCAACTTACTCAGAATTCCTAGCACATCTTCTTTACTAACATCCACCTCCTCTAGCCTACCTGCCTGTTTCACAGCATATAGTGGGGAGCGTTGTCCATTCTAACCTTTGCATTACTGCTTCTTTAATCAGTCCTGATATTGGGGATCCCATTGGTGTTCTGTTGATTTGTTTGTATACGCCATTGTTGAAGCTGTTGAAGTCTGTCAACAGGCAGACACAACATTCTGCCCGTGTCTGCGTGGGTTTCCTGCAGGTGCTCCGCTTTCCTCCCACAGTCCAAAGATGTGCAGGCTAGGTGGATTGGCCATGCTAAATGCAGGGATATGTAGATTAGGGGAATGGGTCTGGGTGGGATGCTCTGAGGGTCGGTGTGGACTTGTTGGGCCAAAGGCCTATTTCCACACTGTTGGCATTCTATGATGACCAGACTTAGTAATCACCCTACCGTACATCAAGGAAATTTCAGAGCTGACCACAAAACTACTCAGACCCCTAGGTATCAGGGTAGCCCATATACCAACCACCACCCTACGATAGCTACTGACAAACATGAAGGATCCCATACCCAAAACCGGTGTAATATGCAAAATACCATGCAAGGACTGTGAGAAACACTACATAGGCCAAACTGGAAAAAATGTGACAATACAGATACACAAGACCAACTAGGCACCAAGAGACACGACCAATTCTCACTTGTCTCACTACATACGGACAAAGACAGACACGAATTCAACTGGGACAACACATTCATAATCGCACAAGCCAAACAGAAACACGCCAGGGAATTTCTGAAGGTATGGTATTCTAACCAGAACTCCATCAACAAACACATTGAATTCGACCCTGTGTACAAACCACTGAGAAATAGAACTGGAAGTAGTATCAAACACCCCAACAAACTGAGGCATATAAATAACAAGCGGGAGAGAACACTAACGCTTCACTGGAGGCGCACTGACAATGTTACCTAGCAGGGTGATGAAACGTTTGCAACCAAACCCACCGGCTCAGCGAGCATGTCTACAACCTCATCCACAACCCGAGCTAGTCTGTTCTTATAATTTGGTTTGTTTTGAAGTGTATGGCACCGTTATTATCATGTAACATGGCCTTTCAAGCAGTACACACTGAGGATCTGGATCGCACTTCGATTCCCACTTCTCTAAAGCCCAGGTACATTGACCGATTGTAGTACCCCTACTGTTGCCCACCTGACATTATGCTCTGCACAGACCATGAGGCAAATCTGTGACCTTCTATATCACAGCAGGAGAGTGGAGAGGAATGAGACAATTGGACAACTGAAGAAAGAGACAAATTTGCAACAAAAACAAAGTGCAAGCAAATGAAAATGAAGGAGGTACTTGCGTGATTTAAAGAGGGGGGATAAAAAAACCATATGGATGGTCTGATCTAGAGACATGTATGCAGACAGGGGGAAGAGACATCATCATGGGTTGAACAGAGGAAATGCAGGTGGAGAGGACAGAATACGCACTGATTGTAAGCAAGAAATTTTCACAGATCATTCTGGAAACATTTCAAACCAGTACCTCCAATCTGAAATTGCGTACTTGGACACATTGCTATCCAAAAACCCCAATCCCCTATATTCCACTGCCAGAAGTTATTAATTGTACACAGAAATGCAGATATAACTTATACTTCGGAGTCTGCATCAATATTATGACATTTCACAACATTTTTGGTAACACATTTTTATACTTAAAATGCCAATGGGTCAATATTCGTGCACTTTTAAAATTTTGTTTTCTTAGATGCTCACATTGTTCAGTGGTCCCCAAGTGGAGACAGTTATATCGTTGTTTCAAACAACAGACTGGACGTATATAATCTGATGACTGCCTCCATCCATGGAACCATTGTGTGTAAAATGAGGATCTCATCGGTGAAATTTATAACGGTATGTTACATTAGTTTTCAATCTTCCATGACTTGCATATAATATTTGAAGCTTCTGTATCAAATCCAAACTTGTTTTGAAAATAGTTTATTTGCTTGTTCGTTTATCTCCATTTCGTTAAAGTGGTTATTGACATGGATGAGGGGACAATGTGTAATCTATCCTAGTTTGCAGGTAATACAAAGTTGGGTGGGAAAGTAAGCGGTGAGGAAATTGCAAAGACAACATGTGCAGATTAAGTGAAATTAAAAGCAGAATACTGTGAATGCTGGAAATTTAAAATAAAACAGAAAATGTTTGCAAATCTCAGCAGGTTTGACAGCATCTGTAGAGAAAGTTAATATTTCCAGTCCAATATGGTTCTTCACAATGTAAGCCTATCACTGCAAAAGATAAGGCTGAAATATGCGCATAATCTTCAACCAGAAATGTTGTGAAATGTCATAATATTGATGCAGACTCCAAAGTATAAGTTATATCTGCATTTTTGTATACAATTAATAACTTCTGGCAGTGGAATATAGGGGATTGGGGTTTTTGGATAGCATAGTGTACAATCTTCTCTCGCCCTCTCCAGAGATCTCTAGAATCTCAAATTCTAGTCTTAGCCAATTTGATTCACTCCAGATCATATCAAGAAATGGTTGGAGGTATGGGCTACTGTAAAAGCTATGGGTCTGACCACATTCTAGCAATAATACTGAAGACCCGTGCACCCAGAATTTTCTGCACCTCTATCTCAGCTTTTCTGGTACAGCTACAACACTGGCATCTATCCGACCAAGTGGAAAGTTGCCAAGTTAAGTCCTGTACATGCAAACCAGGCTAAATCCAACCCTGCAATAAACATCCCATTCAACTACACTCCATCATCAGTGAAGTGACAGAAGGTGTCGACAACAATGGTATCAAGCAGCACCTGCTTAGCAATAACTAGGAAGAAGGAAGCTTACTTAGGGTTGAGGAAGCTAGAATCTGACAGGGCTCTAGAGGGCTACAAAGTAGCCAAGAAGGAACTGAAGAATGGACTTAGGAGAGCTAGAAGGGAGTATGAGAAAGCCTTGGAGGGTAGGATTAAGGAAAACCCCAAGGTATTCCGTGGGAACAGGAGGATGGCCAGAGTGAGGGTAGGGCTGATCAGGGATAGTGGAGGGAACTTGTGCGTGGAGTCAGAGGAGGTCATAGATCATAGAGTCCCTACAGTGTGGAAACAGGCCCGTCAGCCCAACAAATCCACAGCAACCCTCGGAGCATCCCCCCCCAGACCCATTCCCCTATAACCGACCTAATCTACACGTCCCTGAACACTACGGGCATTTTAGCATGGCCAAACCACCTAGCCTGCACATCTTTGGACTGTGGGAGGAAACTGGAGCACCAGGAGGAAACCCACGTAGACACGGGGAGAATGTGCAAACTCCACACAGACAGTCGCCCGGGGTGGAATCGAACCCGGGTCCCTGGTGCTGTGAGGCAGCAGTGCTATCCACTGAGCCACCGTGCCACCCTATTAAGGTATTCATTAAGGACCTTAATGAATACTTTGTTTCAGCATTCACCAGTGAGAGGGACCTTGACGTTTGTGAGGACAGTGAAACAGGCTGATATACTTGAACAGGTTGATGTTAGGAAGGAGTATGTGCTAGAAATTTTGGAAAACATGAGGATAGACAAGTCGCCTGGGCCAGATGGGATATACCCAAGGATTTTACAGGAAGCGAGGGAAGAAATTGTTGTGCCTTTGGTGATGATCTTTGTGTCTTGACTGTCCACTGGAGTAGTACCAGATGATTGGAGAGTGGCAAATGTTATTCCATTGTTCAAGAAAGGGAATAGGGATAATCTAGGGAATTACTGATCATTTAGTCTTACTTCTGTAGTGGGCAAATTATTGGAGAGGATTCTGAGAGATAGTATTTGATTATTTGGAAAAGCACAGTTTAATTAGAAATTGTCAGCATGGCTTTGTGAAGTGCAGGTCATGCCTCACAAGCCTTATTGAATTCTTTGAGGATGTGACAAAACATGTTGATGAAGGTCGAGCAGTGTGGTGTAAATGGATTTTAGCAAGGCATTTGATAAGGTTCCCCATGGTAAGCTCATTCAGAAAGTAAGGTGGCATGGGATTCAGGGAAATCTTGCTGTCTGGATACAGAATTGGCTGTCCAATAGAAGACAGAGGATGATAGTAAATGGAAAGTGTTCAGCTTGGAGCTGGGTGACCAGTGGTGTTCCACAGGGATCTGTTCTGGGACCTCTGCTCTTTGTGATCTTTTTATAAATGACTTGGATGAGGAAGTGGAAGGGTGGATTAGTAAGTTTGCCGATGATACGAAGGTTATGAATAGTGTGGAGGGCTGTTGTAGGTTGCAACGGGACATTGATAGGATGCAGAGCTGGGCAAAGAAGTGGCAGATGGAATTCAACCCAGAAAAGTGTGAAGTGATTCATTTTGGAAGGTCGAATTTGAATGCAGAATACAGGGTTAATGGCAGGGATCTTGGGGTCCACGTCCATAGATTTCTCAAAGGATAATAGGTCGGCACAACATTATGGGCCGAAGGGCCTGTACTGTGCTGGGCTGTTCTATGTATTCTATGTATCGCTGTATGATAACCTGCTCACTGATGCTCAGTTCATGTTCTGCCAAAGCCACTTAGCTTCCAACCTTATTACAACCTTTGCAAAAATGTACAAAAGAGCGAAGTGAGGATGACCAACCTTAACACCAAAGCTGCACTTGATCATGTGTGGCATCCAGGAGCTTTGGCAAGACTGAGGTTGATAGGAACTGGAGGAAACCTCTGCTAATAGGAGTCAAATTTGACACAAAGCAAGATGGTTGTGGTTGGGTGTCAGTAATCTCAGTTCCAGGGCATCTCCTCAGGATTTTTCTCCAGATGGCATACTTGGCCCAACTGTCTTCTGCTTCATCAATAATCTTCACTCCGTCGCAAGGTTAGCAATAGGCATGTTTGCTGATGACTGTACAATCTTCAGTTTCATTTCAGAACTCCTCATGTATTGCAGCATTACATGCCAAATTCAACAAAATCTGACAATATTCAGGATTGAGTTGACAAGTGGCATCTGCATCACACAAGTGCCAAGCAATCGCCTTTTCCAAAAGAGAGACTCCAACATTTTGGGAAAAGAGATAATAATTCCTTAAGTTTTGAGATGTCTATGGATAATGATGTGACTGGTCCTCAGGTGAAGGTGCTAAACTGGGGGGAAACTGGAGAAATTAGATTGGGGGCAGCTGTTTAAGGTAAATTCACATCTGACATGTGGGAGTCTTTTTAAAAACCGGTTGATCAGAGTTCAGGAGTACCATGTTCCTGTGAGGATGAAAGATAAGCATAGAAAGATTCGGAAACCCTGGATGACAAGGGAAAATGAAAGACTAGTCAAAAAATAAAAGTCTATGTAATGTTTAAGAAACTGAAATCACATAAGGCCCTTGAGGAATATAAAAGAAGCATGGAAGAATTTAAGTAGGGAATTGGGAGGGCTAACAGAGGCCATGAAATATTCTTGGCAAGTAGGATTAAGGAAAATCCCAAGGCATGTTATACATATATTAGGAGCAAGAGGATACTTGGGGAAAGGGGAGGTCTGCTCAAGGATAAAGAAGAAATTTATGTTTTGAGCTACAGGAAGTGGGTGAGGTCCTTAATGAGTACATTGCATCAGTATTCACCAAGGAGAAAGACATGGATAATGGTAAGATGAGGGAAGGGTATGTTGACATTCTGGGGCATGTTGATATTAAGTACGAAGATGTTTTGGGTGTCTTAAAAAGCATTAAGGTGGATAAGCCCCCAGGACCCTGAAAGAGGCAAGGGAGGAGATCTTTGAATACTCTTTGGCAACAGGTGAGGTCCCAAAAGACTGGAGACTAGCTAGTGTCGTTCCTTTATTTAAGAAGGGCAGTAGGAATAATCCATAAATTATAGGGCAGTGAGCTTTACATCACTGGGAGGGAAATTCTTGGAAAAGATTCATAGAGACAGAATTTACTTGCATTTGGAAACAGTGAAGAAGATTATCTAAGATTACAAAGAGATTTTGATCAATTGGGTCAGTGGCCAAAGAGTGACAGATTGAGTTTAATTTGGATAAATGCGAGGTATTCCATTTTGGTAATACAAACAAGGGACTTATACAATTAATGATAGGGCCCTGGGTAGTGTTGTAGAACAGAGACACCCAGGGGTTCAGGTACATTATTCTTTGAAATTTGTGTCACAGGTAGACAGGGTGGTTAAGGTGTTTAGCAAGCTTGCCTTCATCATTTAGACCTTTGCGTAGAGGAGTTGGGGCAACATGCTGACATTGTACAGGACATTGGTGAGGCCTCTTCTGGAGCACTGTGTGCAGTTCTGGTTGCACTGTTGTAGGAAAGATAATATTTAATTGGATAGGGTTCAGAAAAGATTTACCAGGATGTTGCAGGTAATGGAGGGCTTGAGTTATAAAAATAGGCTGGGGCTTTTTTCACTGGAGTATAGGAGGTTAAGGGATGACCTTTTATAGAAGTTTATAAAATCATGAGAGACATGGATAAGGTAAACAACAAAGGACTTTTCCCTAGGGTGGGGAGCTCAAAACTAGGGGTATATTTTTAAGGTTAGAGGAGAAAGTTTTAAAAAGGACACTAGGAGCAACTTTTTTTTTTTACACGGAGTGATTTGTATGTGGAATGAACTGCCAGGGGAAGTGGTGGATACATGTACAGTTACAATGTTTAAAAGGCATTCGGATGACTATATGAATTGGAAAGGTTTGGATGTTATGGGCTAAATGCAGGCAAATAGGACTAGTTTAGTTTGGGAACATGATCGGCTAGTTGGACCAAAGAGTCTGTATCCATGCTTATTACAGAGAGTCAGCAAGACTTTCTGCAGGGAAAGTCATGTCAAAAATTTGAGTTTTTTTGAGGAAGTGCCAAAGATGATTGCGGATTAGGCAGTGAATGTCGCCTACGTTGACTTTACCAAAGTGTTTGACAAGGTCCCTCATGTAGGCTGGTCCAAAAGATTAAGTCACATGAGATCCATGGTAAGTTGCTAAGTTGGATATAAAATTGTCTTGGTCACAGAGACAGTGAGGATGTTATGAAGGGGTGTTTTTCTGGTCTATGACCAGTGGTGTTCCACAAGAATCAGTGCTGGGACCTCTGTTCTTTGTAATATGTATAAATTATGTGGTTGAAAATGCCAGTGGTCTGATTAATAAGTTAGGAGATAACACAACACAAAATTTGGTGCAGTTTTGTATAATGAGGAAGTTATCAAAGGATACAGCAGAATCAGTTGGAAAGTGGGGCAGAGAAATGGCAGATGGAGTTTAATCCAGGCAAGTATGAGGTGATACACTTAGGGTGGTCAAATGCAAGAGGAAAGTATACTGTAAATGGCTGGACCCTTGGAACATTGATACAGAGGAATCTTGGGTTGCAAGTCTGCAGCTCCCTGGAAGTAGCAACACAAGTGGTAAAGAAGTTGCATGGCATGCTTGCCTACATCACTTAGGGCATTGAATATAAAACTTCAGTTAGGCCACATTTGGAGTATGGTGCAGTATTGTGTGCACACTGTAGAAAAGATGTGGTTGCTTTGGAGAGGTGCAAAAGAGGGTCCACCTGGATTGGAGTATAGTTCTGAGGAAGGGGGACCAGACCCAAAACGTTAACTCTGACTTCTCTTTACAGATGCTGCTAGACCTGCTGAGCTTTTCTGTTTTTGTTCCTGATTTACAACATCTGTCATTCTTTTGGGTTTTACTAGGGTTTTGGAAGCTGATTGGGTGACCTAAATGGAAGTATATAAAATTCTCAGAGGCATGGATAGAGTGTACAGTCAGAGTCTTTTTCCCAGGTTAGAACTGTCAAATACAAGGGGGCACAGTTTTACAGTAAGAGAGGAAAAGTTTAAACGAAATGTGCAAGGAAAGATTTTTTACACAGAGGATGCTTGATACCTGGAAAGTGCTGCAGGGTGGTGGTAGAAGCAGATAAGTTGTTGAAAAGACAGACAACTGACCAGGCAGGGAATAAGGGGATAAGGACCATGTGCAGGCAGATGAGATTAGTTTAGAATGGCATCATGTTCAGCATAGACATGGTGGGCCGAATGGGCTGTTCTGTGTTGTACTGTTCAATGATCTGTGTTCTAAAGTCCATAGGGAATGGTAGTATGGGTTCTTGGACTCGGTGGTTAGCACTGCTGCCTCACAGCGCCAGGGACCCGGAATCACTTCCACTCTTGGGCGACTGTCGGTGTGGAGTTTGCACATTCTCCTCGTGTGTGCATTGGTTTCCTCCGGGTGGTCCGGTTTCCTCCCACAGTCCAAAGATGTGCAGGCTAGGTGGATTGGCCATGCTAAATTGCCATTAGTGACCAGGGATGTTTAGATTAGGTGGGTTAGACATGGGGGAATGAGTCTGGATGGGATGCTGTTTGGAGGGGCAGTGTGGACTAGTTGGACCAAATGGCCTGTTTCCACACTGTGGGGATTCTATGATTCTGATTTCATGTGTTCTGTTTTTAAAAAAAGTCTTGCTCCCAGCACAGATGCAGTAGTCGACTATCCTGTGGAGTACAGCATAGCAGGAAAAATGACAGGTGAAATAGAGCTGGACAAAATTGCTGAAGAGATAGGAATGGCATGGCGTGGGGGCAGTTCTTAGAAAGTGGCTAGAATATTGTCCGTTGGACATCAGTGCTTCCAGAAAGCCATCTCACTGAAATCTCACGACACCAGGTTATAGTCCTACAGGTTTATTTGAAAACGCAAGCTTTCAGAGCCTCACTCCTCCTTCAGCTGTTAATGAGAGAGGTAATATCAGACACAGAAATTATAAGTAAAAGATCAAAGGCTCATGTACACTGATGAGGATGTATTAAACAAACCTAAGGTGCTGTTAAATCTTTAATCAGTTAGAAGGTTTTAATGTTTAATATGTGTATATATAAATCGCCGAATTCCTTTTTGAGTCGCTGTACTGAGAGAACTAAAGATTTCATCAGTGCAAAGAAGAGGTGACATTTTAGGTCAGACAATGTATGTTAGGTGTAGGGCCTTGTTTTGAAACTGTTTGTTTGTGTTTTGGTTTGGAATCAGACTGGTTTTATTTCTAAAGTAGGAATTTATAAAACACCACATTGACTCCAAACCAAAACATTCAGATGGATCTGGGTGTGCAGGTCTACAGTTCCCTGAAAGTGGCCACACAGGTAGCCAAGGTGATTAAGAAGGCATATGGCATGCTTGCCTTCATCGCCCGAGGTATGGAGTACAAGAGTTGGCAAAGCATGTCGCAGCTATATAAAACCCTTGTTAGGCCGCATTTGGAGTATTGTGTGCAGTTTTGGTCACCACACTACCAGAAGAATATGGAAGCTTTGGAGAGAGTACAGAGAAGGTTCACCAGGATGTTGCCTGGTCTCCAGGGCATTGACTATGAGGAAAGATTAAAAAGACTAGGATTGTTTTGACTGGAAAAATGGCAGCTGAGGGGAGACCTGATAGAGGTCTACAAAATTATGAGAGGCACAGATAGGGTGGATAGTCAGAGGCTTTTTCCCAGGATCGAACATTCAATTACAAGGGGGCACAGGTTCAAGGTCAGAGGGGGAAAGTTTAAGGGAAATGAGCAAGTGAAGTTTTTCAGAGTGGTAGCAGCCTGGAATGCGCTACCAGAAGAGGTGGTGGAAATGGGCACATTGAAGACATTTAACAGGCACCTAGATGGGTACGTGAATAAGGAGGAAATACAGGGATACGGATCAAAAAATGGCAGATTTGTTTTTAGATTAATTAGGGCATGTTGGTTGGCACAGACTTTGAGGGCCGAAGGGCCTGTTCCTGTGCTGTACTTTTTCATTTGTTCATTTTTGTTCAAAACACAAGTTCTAAACAAGGCCTCACACCTAACATGCATTGTCTGACCTAAAATGTCACCTCTTCTTTACACTGATAAAGCCCTTAGTTCTCTCAGGACAGTGACTTGAAAGGAATTCAGGGATTTACGTAGTCCGTAAGATCCACCTGACCTTCATTCCATCACTGCAATAGGAAACTGAGGCTCTGTATTCCAGAACAGTTGAATTCATTTCATGCTATCTTTATTGGACAGAAGCAGTTGGAGTGAGCACATGGCTTTGCAGGAGACCTGGTATAAACAGATATGATAATGTAAGAGGCAGTTAGACAAACATGTGAACGAGCAGGGAACAGAGGAACATATCCCATCTGCCTGCACATGTTCTTAGTTTAGAATGGCAGCATGGTCGCCGCAGACATGATGGGCTGAGGGGCCTGATCCTGTGCTGTACTGTCCTAAGTTCTAACCATCATTTCCGCGCCCCCGCCCCTCTCTTTGAAATTCACCATCACTAAATCCCCCACTGTCAATGTCGTAGGGGGTTACCATTGACTGGAAACTGAACTGGACTAATTATATAAATATGGTAGTTACAAGAGATCAGGGACTTGAAATCTTGCAATGAATAACGCACCACCTGACTCTCCAAAGGCAGTCCAGCATTTACAAGGCAGAAGCAAGGAACGTGATGGAATGTTCCTGAGTGCAGCTCCAACAACACTCCAGGATCTAGACAACAACCAGGACAAAGCAATCCGTTCGATTACCATCACATCCGCAAACATTCATTCCCTCCACCACTGACACTTGTTAGCAACAGTGTGCGCCACTTGCAAGATGCACTTCAAAAATTTGTCAAGCCTCCTTAGACAGCATCTTCCAAATTCTCAACCACTTCTATTTAGAAGGACAAGGATAGCAGATGCATGGGAACGTCACTGCCTGCACATTCCTTTTCAAGTCATTCATCATTGAGACTTGGAAATGTATCAGTGTTTCTTCAGTCTTGCTGGGTCAAAATCCTGGAACTCCCTCCAGCATTGTGGGCGTACCTATGACAAGTGAACTGCAGTGGTTCAAGAACTGATAATACTGTCACCTTCCCTAGTTGCCTCAGAGATAGGGAATGAATTCTGGCCCAGCCAGCAACACCAATATCCCACAAGTGAATTTAAAATAAAAATGGATTAGAGTAAGATTTCAGCTCAAAAGCTTGCAAAACTTGCGTCTAGCTTTCGTTGAGATGAATGGTGGACACCATTGCTTTGCTACTGTCCCATTACAATATCATTGTGTCATTTGAATATTAATGCTTATAAATAGTGTTAGTAAACACAAATGCTTAAGGCAAATAAAAATTATTACATAAGATAAATAACGCCATGCAATCCCAAGAAATTATTGCCAGAGGAGCCGCATCTTCTTCAGAAAATTGCAGTGTTAGCAATGTTCCATTTAGTGTCAAAATAAATGGTTTATGTTATAAACTCATGGCTAATAACCATTATTTTAGAGCCCTTGGATTGTAATTCAAGCAATTTTCAGTTTTTAAAATTAAGTGTGCTTTGTTTGCCTTTTAGGAGTCTATCATTGCTATAGCTGGGGATGAGGAACATGTCAGATTGTACAACACAATCACAAAAACATGTCTTTCCGAGTTCAAGGCTCATGACATCAGGTACAATGTAAATGTTTTTGTGCTTAAAGTTCATGGGTCTTAAATTATTTCTGTTTGAACAGAATATACCCATTGACTTTATCAGCTCCCCTTGCTTAATCTTGTTGGTCAAATCAGTTTTCTCAATCATGGTCTTCAGTTTAATGCTTCATGTAATGTTTCAGTAGTGCAATTCTCAACCCTGCGTCTTTCAAATTTGAAGTCTGGTGAAATATGATCATTCATCAATATATTTACCAGATCATCCTAAACAATATTACGTCTCCCTCTCCGTAGCCCAATGCTTCTACGCCTGAACCTTGAGCCATCTCTGACATCTTGATGTTAAACTATCACCTTTTTAACCCACATCCCCTACTTTCCAACAACTTGTGAAAGAAATATATTCTATGGATTCTTACCTAAATTTTAGAGTGCTGTCTATTGCACCGTGCATCTGGTGCTGTGACCAGCAGTGGCCAGTGGTATAGTTTGTTTTTGTTTTGGTTTTGATTCCGGGTGGTTCTGCAACATTAACTTTGGGCAGTGCTGCTAGGAAGTTTTTCTTCCAGTGGAAAAGAGCTGCATTTATAGAGTGTATTTATATCTTCTGAATATCCTGATGGTTTCATCACAAATGGAATCCTTTTGGCTTTTTAGATAAAAGTAGCAGCCAATCTTTGTGTATAGCGAGATAAAAGCACAACTGCACTTTGTTTTTTTTTTAAATTATGTTGTTGATTGAGAGAACACCAAGACAGCTCCCTGCCCTTAAAGTCATAGAGATATACAGCACGGAAACAGACTCTCTGGTCCAACTCGTCCATGCCGACCAGATATCCCATATAAATCTAGTTCCGTTTCCCAGCGTTTGGCCCATATCCCTCTAAAGCCTTCCTATTTATATACCCATCCAGATGCCTTTGAAATGTTCTAATTGTACCAGCATCCACCACTTCCTCCAGCAGCTGCGTGAAAATGTTACCCCTTAAGTCTCTTTTATATCTTTTCCCCTCTTACCTTAAACCTATGCCCCCTAGTTTTGGACTTTTTTATTCCCCACCCCCCCCACCAGGGAAAAGACCCTGCCTATTTACCCTATCCATGCTCCTAATGATTTTATAAACCTCTAAGGTCACCCCTCCGCTTCCGACGCTCCAGGGAAAATAGCCCCGGCCTATTCGGCCTCTCCTGTATAACTCAAACCCTCCAACCCTGGCAACATCCTCATAAATCTTTTCTGAACCCTTTCTAGTTTCACAACATCCTTCCTATAGGAGAGAGACCAGAATTGCATGCAGTACTCCAGAAGGGGCCGAACCAATGTCCTGTACAGCCTCAACATGACCTCCCAACTCCTTTACTCTGTGCATTGACCAATTAAGGCAAGCATACCAAACGTGTCAAAGAGACTAGATTAAATCATACACCAAAGGCCCAGACTTCAACGCAAAGAGGTTTTATTTGTGATATCACAGAGAGTCAACACTGACAAAAGGTCAGGTCCGAAGACTCCAACAAGTACAAAAAAGAAGCAGAATTTATACAGTGGTACAAACCAGTTAAAACAAACTGCAATTGTACTGTGTTTTTAGCAAGGCAAGGTCATTACTTAGGCAACCAAACATAAATTAATTAAAGCGGAATGCGGTGAAGATGCTGCGAGCTCTAGCTTTTTGTTATCTATCCTACGTGACTTCTCAAACTAGGGAAAGGCAAGTTGCAGTTACAGCAATATGCACTGTTTCATAAAGCTAAAGTTTCACTACTTCGTGCTCCTAATCATGTATTATTTTAACTCATTACTACTCAGCCTAAATTAAACAGTCTCAACATGCAAATATTCCACAATTCCCTCCTTTTTGATCCCCAGATCAACTTCACCAGTCTTCCTCTGCAAACGGAGGGTCATACCCCAGAGAATAAGGTCTCATGCCTAAGCATTCCTTCTCATCATAATCAGGACTGTTGAATACATAACGGGGAAACATGGGAACAAGGCTTTGTCGTCCCCGGGGGAGAATGGCACACATTAGGCAGGTTATGAAGACGCATACTAAAATTATAAGAATGATCCTGTAGTGGGTCAGGATGCTCCACCAAGTCCCAGAGGGCCATAATCCAGATCCTAGGGAATTGTAGTTGTGGAATTGATTTCCTATCGCTTTTATTTTACTGACAGCTCGCTGAACGTGATCCGATAGGCACGTGATGTTTTCAGACTCATCTGGGATATAGGTGCAGCAATCCTGTCCTATAACTGCGCAAGTCCCCTTTTTCGGCCAGCACAAAATCTACAGCCAGTCTATTCTGTAGGGCCACTGTTTGCACCACCACAAGTTCGGCAGATAGTCGTGAAATGGCCTGATTTGTTCCCTCTAGAGCATAGGTGGTTTCACTGGCCAATTTCTCTAGGGCTGAGGTCATGTTAATCAGTTCCCGGGCTGCTTTCCCCGTACCGTAAATGGGGAAGGTTATCATGAAGAAACGCTCAGTCTCGGTTATTGCCCTCTTGCATCGTTTAATTCAGGGGTGCTAGCGTAAAATGGGGAAGTGGTTCATAAGGGGGACTATATACGCAAGATAGCAGAAACCCATCCAGGAGGAGGGGCAGCCAGGCGTAGGCTTTGTAGCCACATACAAAATATGTACCTTTAAAGGGAATATCATGGGTGATAAACTCCAGGTACCAATTTTGTTGAAAAGTGCCCAAATGGTTGGCTTTAGGAAAAGTAAGAAGGCTGTTGGAGCCCTGCATAAGGAGAGAACCGTTAGAAGCCCCTCTGACCAGAAAGATTGGGAACTTGCCCCGGGCCAGGAGAGGGAAAATAGAGACATTATAATATTGGGAGCAATGGCTGTTACCCATGGGGATACCCTTTCCTCATATTGCTATTTTAGTGAAGCAAATTGGGGCCGTGTGGTTATGTTCAGCAGTTAGTGTGAAAAAAGGTGGTGACAGGGAATAGGTGTTATGATAATCTGGCAGGTACCATCCTACAAAAGTGGTAAGGGGGTACCGTGCCAACTTCCACTGTTGCCTATCAGTGTCGGTGTTAACGATTCCCGGGTAGTGAGCTATTCTGTTTTAATACCCACTCAGCCACTTCGGAGGCATTAAAGGGGATTGGTCATAATGGGATTCCCCCTTTTGAGTGAATGGGAACGTGGGCGAACATCCAGCAAAAGGAGACATTTAAACGCGCCACATATTCATAGCTTAAAGAAAGAAATGAGTTGTGAGCAGGGGCTTGTTCTATATAATCTGACGTGATACCCCACACAAATAGTCCATGTACTATAAACACCAGAAATCTCATTGTTTGTCTCCCGTGGATGGACCTGTCACCATGGCTCTGGAGCCTGGTTTGCAATGTGTCCCGTGAATCCAGTCCGGCTTGCCTTGCACTTTGACAGCTGTGCAAATCGTCAGTAGTACTTGATAGGGTCCTTTCCACCTCGAGAAAAAGAGCCCTTTTCGAGTGATTGGATATACACAAAATCACCAGTATTCTCTTCCTTGGGCTTTGGCAGTGCCTCTAGTACTTTTGCATGATTGGACCGTGCTGCCTCACTCGGCCTGTGCATACTGCAGGGTTTTCTCATCGACCCATATTAGTGCTACATCGGCCTCGGTCATTGGGGGCTTGGTGCCGTGGGCATGGGTCTCCCCATTAAAACTTCAGAGAATCCATACAGTGTGGAAACAGGCCCTTCGGCCCAACAAGTCCACACCGATCCTTCGGGCATCCCACCCAGACCCATCCCCCTATAACCCACCTAAGCTACACATCCCTGAACACTATGGGCAATTTAGCATGGCTAATCCACCTAACCTGCACATCTTTGGACTGTGGGAGGAAACTGGAGCACCCGGAGGAAACCCACGCAGACATGGGGAGAATGTGCAAACTCCACACAGACAGTCACCCGAGACTGGAATTGAACCCGGGTCCCTGGCGCTGTGAGGCAGCAGTGCTAACCACTGAGCCACCATGCCGCTCCAAATGGGGTCAGGCCTGTCATTCTATTAACTTGATTTCTCAGGGTATATAGGGTAACGGGTAAAGCTTCAGGCCACTTTAATCCAGTCTCCTGGCACACTTTAGCCAGGGTATTCTTTAAAGTCCCATTGATCCTTTCTACCACTCCCGAGAACTGGGGCTGATAGGGTATGTGCACTTTCCATTCGAACCCCATAACCTGGGTCAGAGCCACTACCACCTTTCCTGTAAAGTGCGTCCCTCTTTCGCTATTTATCCTCACGAGTATTCCGAATCGTGGGATGATGTCTTTCATTGGACATTTTACCACTGTCCTGGCATCATCTTTTCCAGTTGCAAAAGCCTCTCTCCATTTTCAAAACATATCCACTATCACCAGTATGTATTTAAATCCTCCAGAGGCCGGCATGTGCACAAAATCTATTTGCAGATTTCCAAAGGGTCCTGCCGGTACTGGCAAGTGGTCAAATCTGGCTGGGGTCTTTCCTCTGTTATACTGTTGGCAAATAGTTTAAGTTTCAGTTACCTGCTGAATAGCAGTCATTATTCCTGGCGCAAACCACTGCTGGGAAACTTGGTGTAGCATCCCCCTTTTCCTACATGCCCTTGCCCATGCGCCAGGTGGGCGAGTGCATGGAGGAACCCCTTCGGGCAGACCACCCTGCCATCGGGGTCTCTCCATAGATTATACGAATCCTGGATACAACCAGCCGGACCCCAGTTTACTTTTTCTTGTTCACTGGCCCCTTCCTGGGCCTGTATTGCAACCGTCAAGTCGATGGCTTTGGGCCAATTTTAGCGAACGAAAGAGGAAACAACCGTTGCTCGGGATAGAGCAGCTGTCTTCGCCGCTTCATCTGTGGCGGCATTGCCTAGCGAGACTTCGTCTTGCACTTGTGTGTGCGCCTCACGCTTTATTATCGCTAGCCTACTGGGGAGGAGAATGGCTTGGAGCAAGTTACCTATTAGAGTAGCATGCTGAATGGACTTACCAGAGGAGGTGATAAATCCGCAGTG